GGTGTGGGCACGCGTGTTTTGGGTGGCCCCCGGCGGCTGAGAGCTCATTTCGGCCCATTTGACCGCGGGTGACCGGGGGAGGGGAGGGTTCAAGGTCAGGGGTGTGTGGTGGGGGGGGGGGGATGAAGCTGGGCACGCGTGGGTCCTGACAGAGGCAGTCAAATGGACTAAGATTTGGAGCTCTGCTGCCGACAATAGGACACAAAACTAATGAACCAACTGGGTGATTTGGCGAGGCAGTTAGGTTAGACGGGTTTCCTGACTGGCCAAAGCGCACTGTTCACTGGTTGCGCCGTACATAAGCCATTCTGCAACTCCACCCCTCCAAACTGAGTGGGCCATGTCACCAAGGTGATTGTGGCTGATTGTCATAATTACGCTCGCCAGTAAAAGGCCCATGAAGCCCGTGTCGAGCTGTGGCCGGCTCCGCCAGCCCAGAAGCGCCGTCATATCTCCGGCTGTCGGCGAGCTTATGAGTGCTGCAGCGGCGCGTTTGTAGTCTCTCCAGACGGGCTGTGTCGGCCAGTGGACTAAATGGAGCACTAGCCAGCAAGAAGCTCTGAGGGGAATCTGGGCCGGCCCGAGCCACAGGATAATTGTGTTTGGTGCGCATTTTTAGCGCTGTTTTCGCTGGATCACCTGCAGCAGGTTGTAATTATATTTTAGATACTGCGCCCGGTTAATTTCAGTCGTCATTAGGGAACATACGTTTGAATAAATTAACCATCTCTTCTCATTATGGTGTGATATTCAGGAGTATGATTTGGCCGTAATTGTGGTTAAGACACTGGAACTCCTACGGGACGAGAGAATAATTTCCTGTAATGGAATCAGATGCAGTTATGAAAATGGCGGCTCTGTGATGTTCAGAAATAAAATCGGTAGCGTTTAATCTATGTCGTTGCCGCAGAGTGACGAGCGGGTGAGGTTAATTCATCTCCGCTCTAAATTTTCTGGAGATTTACCGGTGAGCGGTTATGGGCGGACACCAGGGATGAAATCGTGTGCTCTCGTTACATAATTCACAGCGATGATATTATGCCACCGAGGCGGTAAGACCACAGACGTAGGTATTCAATACCACTTCCCCACTGCTTCAAGGACGTTTGTATTGTACAGCGTTCCCTGTTTTGAGCAAGCATCCTTTTCGAAGTAATGGGTCATAGAAACGTATACATGATCTTAAAAAGTGTTCTATTTTCGTGATATTCCTCAGTTTAGCAGAAATTCTCCATTTGGAGACACTTGGCCCTGTAAGTGCTCACCTAGTCGTGTCACTGATAACCCCCTTAGTCTCCCTGGCCCATACCCTCCAACGATTACACCGTTCACAAGGGGCGTCCGTCCATTTGAGCGCGTCCGTGTAAAGGTCCCTGTAATTGTTACAGTTTTGGGTGTTGTTACGCATGCAGATTTCGCGGCACGAATCAATCGGTGCGCCTTTGAGTAGAGGGGTGCGCTGAGACGCCCGCCCGCCCGCCCGCCGCCACCGCCGCCGCCGCCGCCGCCGCCGCCGCCGCCGCCCGGGGCTGCCCGTCGGCGGCGGCGGCTGAGTGATGGCCAATTAACGATGGTTTGAGGGCCGACGGCGCTTCCACTGAGACGGTGCGGTCATTAAACGTGTTGGCTCCGCGGGAGGCCCGCACGTCAGAGGCCAGTGCCGGCCGGCCTTGCGTGCATGCGTCAATCAGTTTATGGCGCCGCACCATTCCGCTCTATTTCGGTAGTCCTCACGCTCGGTGATTTGAATAAAATGAGAATAATTTGGAAAATGAATGAAGGAAAGCGTGCAGGTAAGTTCAGCTCAGTCACGGGAGTTTTTTTCGGACTGAAAATGAAATTCTCTGCACCGATAGTTTGTTTGACAGATGAATGGTCTGGCCGTGGGCCTATGAAGATAAACTTCACGTGGAATGGCCGCGTCTCCCTGTGAGGTCCGATCTGTTGATTGCTCAATCACCTCTGTCCGGGAACCAATGGGCTCCCGGCGCTGAAACTGGCGGACGGAGAGCTATTCGTGGTATTGTCGTATAGGTGACCATTGACCAGTGCTCACGAAGATATTGTTGGGGTATTCGCGCAATGATAATCGCAAGTTAGCTTCCGATACGTGCATGCGATTAATTGCTACAAAGTGCAGCTACAAAGTTCTCAAGAACACGAACACAGCAATATCCCCAATCATTGGCATGCATTTTTTATTAAATGATTTGACCAAGGTCCAAAAGTCCAAGGTATAGGTATTTGTTATTATTTCGGAAGTCACCGATGATTAGATTAGCTCCTAGCTGATGTTTAATGTTTATCGGCACACTTTTGCTCGTTGAATTAGTCCTTTTCGGTGTTATTGTATCTTCAGTATTCAAATATGGAACTTTAACGCTTTGACACCCATTCAGTTACATGCACATTGCACAATGCACATGTATTACATCCGTATCTAATTAGAATGCATTTTATATGTGAATGATTCACTTTTGTTTTATTCAGCAGCCATGCATTATACTCTAAGCGAAAAAAATGCGAAAGACGCAAGCAACGCGCATAAAATAACTCTGGAATATGCCACCACCAGCGCACACGTTACCCCATAACTTCAGCACCCCTTCAAGTGCACTACCATTGCCGTGCACTGCATTTGTTATTACAATGCTCCGCCACCCACTGCCCTCTTGTTGTTGGGAACAGGAGATGGCTTCTGAAGCTATAACGCTGTGTCTTACCAGATGGGCCGTCACTAGTAACTCATTGGACGAAATCATTAGCATTTGGCCCCCAGCCATCATGGCATATAGCACCAGAGTGTTACATGGTGTGCAGACAGTCAGCACGTGCTTTCCGACTGGAGATAACATCTTCATCAGACGTCAAACATTTATGTTGGCCATTTCTCATTTGAAAAATATCGGATTGTTATTATAACCCATAGAGCACCTACTGTGGCCGGGTTATGACATTGTGCATGGGCTCTAACTGGCGGCCAGAGTGCCAGTTTTTCATACCAAACGGCCGAATAGATCGTGGGTTCCATAGACCACCAGCTGGCTGGGAGCTCAGAGAGAGACATGCAGCTCGTGCCAAATCCTGCACGCGGCCGCTGTCAGCATAAAATCAACTAAGCCAACATTGACGGCCTTTTTATGCAATAATTACCAATCTTCGAAGGACCCCACATGTTGAGTGGCTCCTCAAACCAGCGGCTTTTCATTGGCGGTGGTCAGAGTGCGGTCTCGATCGAGGAATTTCTGCGAAAAACATCGGCGAGAGGTCGTTAAGTGGCCGGTGCTATCATTTGAGGGCGCATCTGTGGTCGGTACGGGAACGCAACACGCGAAAAGAAAAAGAGCTAGAATGCAGTGAATCGAGAACAACATAAGCTCCGAGAAGTGCGATGTCGAGGAACCTAGATGAGATGTGTCCTCTGGCATTCATTCAATTTAAGAAAAGTACAATAAAGCGCAATGTTTGGTCCATTCATTGACAGGCCTGTTAATTCAAAATGAACTCTTCTTTAAAAAATGGCACTATCCAAAAATAAGAAATGAAAATTTTGCGTCTGCTACTACTTCCACATTCCCTTAGTTTTCACATTATCTTCCAAAATTGGTGGCTTCCTCTATCAGCTTTATAGAGACCAACTGACACACTCGCACTCTTAGCTCAACCTCTGAGCTCTGAGCTCCAGTTTTGATCCCTGATCTCCGACTGCGTGGGTGGCGGCGCCCCGCTCCCCTCCCCTCTGTCATTGTGGGGGAACGGCGTGATGACCACTCCCGCGTGGCCCAGAGGCACCATCCATAGATGACACATCATTTTTGACCTCCAATTACGGTCCATTGTCCGGGTGAGGCTCAATGACACCCGTATGTCCGACTAGAGAGATGCCCAGTCGGGGTACCCGACACAATGACCAAAACATAGACGGTAGGGTAATCATGTGTGCCGCGGTGCATCTAATACAGCGGGGTGGAAGGGAAGGAGGCGTGGGTTAGATGAGAAAAACTGGGCAGAGAGGAGAGTGAAACGTCTGTGTTTTGTGCTGTTTGTGAAGGTCGGAAAATGGTGGAGTGAGTAAGCTATACACGTGTCGGTAATCTGGGGTCGAAAATAAACCACAAAACACGTTAATTATTTTGTTTAACTCTTGTTACCAGTGTATCGATAAAGATTAAGATATCAAAACGTGTTTCACTTCATTAGTTTGTTTTATTTATTGTCAGTCTGGCATCGTCCGATAATGATCAAAGCGATGGCCACGCTGGCGAATATCTCAAAGGAATAGTTATCAGCACCACAAGTTGATGTTGCTTGCTTGTTGCTAGGCTCACAGAGAATGTTGGAAAGAACAAGATGGAAAAAGAAGGTGAAACACTTCTCTTTTTACTCTTTGATTTATTTTCATTGAGAGAGCGCCAAAGACACGCCACGGCTCAGCAGTTGGTGCTTTCTTCTCAGCAATACCATTAAGAATGGCCTCATTTGTCCATGCAAGATGCACTGCCTTGGCACAGCAATTATAGCAATTTGCAATGAATCATTTCAACGAACGAAATTGTTGATGATCGAATCGTAAACTGCAAACACTACGTTGCGTTTAACAAGGGTATAAACATTTAGGCAACGTCCTCTCGACCGGTACTTGTTCTTCATTTCGTTATCATATTAAGCTATATCAGCATTATTCGATATTCTCTTACTTAGATGGATAATTGTTGACAAATTGTTTTGTCAACAAAACAATTTGTTTTGTAGCGCAACGTTATCCGTCATGCGGTCTACTGACATGTCCACAAAGTCTTGGCATTCTCTCACACGTGCCTGGGTCTCATCACGCGCCAAACACCCCCCCCCCCCCCTCCCCACCCCTCCCCACTGAGGAGAAGGTCGTCCGCGGAGCGTCGGCACCCTTTGTGAACTAGGCCCCGCCCCCCGGCGCGGGCCCGCCAATGGGCGACCGCTCGCGTGCCCCCGCGGCGCGCGCCAGCTAGAGACCTCAATCCGGCACAGGGCGCTAGCACCGGGAGACCGCAGTTGTGCGTCGGGCGCTAACACTAGACCACCTCCCGTTGGAGGTCTCTCGGCGCATCGGTACCTCTGCAGAGAACTTTACTTTGACAATCTAAATAGAGATGTCAGTTTTGCACCCGGACAGTCCCGACAGCGGTATTCTACTGGACGAAGGAGACGGCTACCGGACGCATCTTTCCGAGACTGTACGGTACGGAGACCGTAAGACCGTCGTACGGATGACGTCACACCTGTCGGCGGAAGCGGCGGACCGCGTCACGCACCGCGGAGATTACGTCGCAACTGCGCCAGGTATGTCATTTGCCATTGCCCGCGCGGGTTTGATATGTGGCGCGCTAATTATGCGCGACGGGTCACGTAGGCGTTAAACCGACTGCACGCGTACGTGGGCCGGCGATAGAGGTGTTTTAGTGTCGGGTTATCAGCGGAAATTGAGCCCTAATTAGGATGGTCGTAAGGTCGTGCTGGTGGAGGGAGTGTGTGTGTTTCTCTCGCAATAAAATTAGGCAGCTGGAGATAAATTTTACATTTCATGGTCGTAGCTGACGTGTATGGGTCATAAGTGATCATTGTCATTGGTGCTTGTTGGGATCAATCGTGAGGTTCAATTTCGTGTAATGGGTTGATCGTGCAAAATCAGCTGACGATTACAAGGATATGTGAAGATAATTGTTGTTTAGGTGTTAATATGCCATTTCGGCTATTTTATAATCAAACTACTGGCATTGGTTACGTTTATTATTTTGCTGGTACTCTTCTGACGCCTTTTAATTTCATTTGAACCCTAGATGCTAATTTTTGTGCAGTTCACTCGCTGTTAGAGCCAATTTACGTGGGTTTTTGTTGCAGCTTTGTTGGATAGCTTTTATTCACGCTAATATCAATGAATTGTTAAATAATATTATCTAACAGCACGCATCTTCTCTCTCCGCAGGAAATTGCTACACTGCAATGAAGAGAGAGTCATCTCCCAGTGGCTACACAGCGTTACCCTACTGCTCGCCAGCGTATACCGGTGAAACCTACTACCTCCCCGGCACACCAGATTCCCCTACACACACAGAGTATTACACTCGTGTGGTAGAATCCCCTACAACCAGCTCCTACGCCAGCCCTGTGGCGAATTCCCCAACAACCTCGCACTGTGCTCAGTCGAGGGTGAACCCCTCTTCACCTCTCCCCAGTCCTCTCTCCTGTGCCTCCTCTCCCTCTCCTTCCTCCCCCACTCTACCCAGCCAGCCCCTCAAATCCAAACCTCTGGCTCCTTCCGGGGCTCCTCAATCGAAGAAGAAACGCCCCGCACCGGCGAGCGACGAAGTGTGGCGCAGAAGACGCGAGGGAGCCAACTGCCGCGAGAGGCGGCGCATGCAGCGGTTGAACGAGGCGTTTGATCTGCTACGGGAGCACCTTCCTTCAGGATCTGACTGCCCGCTGTCCAAACATGAGACTCTTCAAATGGCCATGGAGTATATAGCCGCCCTGCAAGACCAGCTCTCCTAATACCGCTAGCTTTGAGCGGTGATTACCACGCATGGAAATGTGGAGCAAATACTCAAACGGCTGTGGCTAGTTTAGTGTTGTGTTTTGATGTTTATTTGCGCGACTTTCGAAATGTTTTGATTGGCGTGCTTGATGAAGTGTCGGATTGTTCCTATTGCAATAATACATTGCTCAATATGTGAGCGATGAAATGTTTGTTAAGGGAGGACCTGGAATGGGAAAGAAATTTTCGAGAGCTGGATAAGAAAAAGAGTAAATATGGACATCAGACAGCCATCTGCGAAACGACGACTTGCTTTGAAATCACAACTTCTTAGTTAACAGTTCAAATTTTGAAGAAAAAATGGCCTCGCAAGCACGATAATTTGCTTAAAAACAAACACATAATAATATTCAGTTATCTCGAGCTTACGTGCCTAAAAAAAAACTAAAAAGCTAATCGTCTTCTTATTTTCTTTGTAAATTTAGTCTTATATGGTAAAAATACACACTTGCTACCAACGGAAGACAAGTGTGTAGTATATTACTGAAATTGGAGTATCACGTTTCGCTAGAGCGTGTGCAGTTTCATTGGGAGCATTTAGGTAAGAGCCTTTTTATAGTATACTTGCTCACGATATCCAAATAGCTCTGTTTCTTCGAAGTATTTGCTACAACTCTAGGCCCTAATTGCTGGAAATTCTAGGTTATTTAACTCTGTACGTTCTTACGTTTCTCCGTATCGCGACCATTTGATATCCGGCACCACAGAACGTGGAGGCCCGCTGGAGGGCGTCACGTGCGGCCAACGCTAAACCGTCGATAATTCGCTCTATAAAATCGTCATAAAACGGCAAATCGCCGCCAAATGAAGCGATCGAAACTCGGCGAACGGACGAACCCAGCTGGAGCGTCGGACGCCGGTGACGGAATAATTATGACGAATTTCCGCCGGCAAGAAACAACAGCTGCGATATTCCAGGTCCGCTGAGGCACCGCCGCAAAACGCCGACTGACCGGACATTAGGGGATAATCAGGGCGACGTTGCGTCACCAGGGTTTCGGAGTTTCGCTAAAATGCGGAATTTTGGATAGTTTGATGGCCGGATTGAGCAGGTGGCTGTCCTGGATATTGCGGAATCACTCATAAACTGCTGCCTGAAGGGTGGAAATTATTATTTACTTATCGTTGCTGGTGTTCTGATGGAAATCTATAAATCAATTTGAAGCAGTGTTGTAGGTGCCGGACGGAGCTCTATCGAAATTTGTCCCTTGATACAAATCCTCGTATTACGGAGATCAAAGTAGCAATTGATGAAGAAAAAGGTCATTTGAGAATCAAGAAAGGCTTCTTAGGTGATGTGGGGCTATTTATATACATTATAAATCTTATCAACCATAAAAGACACGACTACTTTCCATGACTTCTTACATTTCGCTTTCATGCTAGTTATTTGCATCCCAAATTGACATATCCCAGAGAAAAGCATTTTTTATGGAAGTTGATTGTTTCTGGCAGTAGGAAATGGTGAAATGGAGTGTGCCATTCAACCCAATCCCCCGAAACTCCTAGCTGGAGAGAATCCGAGCATCCGGAGAATGAATGCTGCCAGATCGCTAGAAGACCCCCTCATCACTCGCAATTCTGCAAACTTAGCCCTCGCGCGGAGAAAACCCTCGTTTCGAGTTGCCTGGTCGGTGCACTGCGGTGCACCTCGCAGTCAGCTGAGCTCAGCTCGTTTGCTGCCATGACTAAGTGGTCGCCTGGCAGTGCTGCGGTCGACCCAGGCTGTGATTATGTAGAGCTGGCTACCGCCGCAGGCAGCGCCTCGGGCGGTCGGCAGATGAGGGGAGGGACAGAGCGGAGGAGAGGGGAGGGGAGGGCAATCAGCTGAGCTGAACTACTGACTGAGATTCGGGGGGATGGTAACCTACTGACTGAGATGAGGGCATCGGAGGTGGCTGAAATGAATGGGAATGGGGAAGATTAGATAACTCTTCCATTGGATGTTTTGGACACAACTAAATTGATTCTACCTGTTTACCATTTCTCTTCGGTGCTCTTTATTCAACACGTGGATATAAGTGAACATTTTATTTTAAAATTTATATCATTTTCTTGTTTGCAAAAAGAAACATGGAACGAGTCTCGTCTATTTGTGTTCGGATTCATCCAACCCCTTTCGTAGGGCCATTTCCAAATCATGATCTCGAAGGTATAAGAACAATCATCAATGCTAACAAATTTTGAGAAAATCTTGGCAAGCATATTTTTCATTTAAAAAAAAAAAACGTTCTATGAAATATCACATGTAATCACATAGTACAAACTTATTTCAGAGAAGCTTCACTAAGGGGCGACAAACAACGAGAAAATGCTCCTAATTTCCGGTTTAATTACGGAATCGCTCATTTAATGATGTCTTGCCACAAACTCTGAGTTATTTCATACCACCAAGGCAAGAAGTGCACCATGTCCGGTAACACGCATCTTTCGATTCCAGGCAGCTCACCCCACAAATTCGTCTTTCCAATTTTACCATGGGAGGATCAGTCTCCTCCCTTCTCCTGATTACTCTGTCCCCTTTCTTTCTTTTTACTCCCCCTCTCTCTCTCTCTCCTCTTTCTCCGTCTTTTTCTTGTCTTCTTTCTCATATTGTTGCTTTTCGGCATGAAGCTTTACGTGAGTCAACTTTGTATACGAGTGCACGACAAAATTGGCAGCGAGCCAAAAACGCCTATGGCGATTGCGACCCGAGAGGCGCGGGGGCGGGACGCGGGGAGGAGCGGGGCGGGTGCGGGGGAGGCTGGGGTTATTTAGACCTCAGCTGAATGCAGCCAGTCAGCTGAGCGTTTCCGCTGGTCTGGCAAAGTGGCGCACCTGAGGCGATACTGAAGCGGTTTATGATGTCGTTCACCATGGAGATGGAAATTGGATAGCGAATGAATGAATGAATGAGCAATGGAGCAGAGTCACGCAAAAGATCGGCCAGAATGGGATTTGATTCACTCTTACCGTAATATGGAAGTGGGGTAAGATGCATCCACCACACGATATAAATATGAGACAAACTGAGCTAAACTTTCCTTGGCGTAGCAAAAGTGTGTGAAAACTTAATCAAAAATGGTATCTGGCTGAACATTGGTGTTTTCCACACGAACGGTATTTAAATGTCATATGTTTCACCAAGAAAACATATTACTAAAAAGAAAAGCATGAACATTAGTGTCACGATAGGCACGTGACGCGACAAAAACTGAGTCATGCTGTGTAACCTTTAAAATCTGCTTCCATCATGTGCAAGTCCCGCCAGACAATTACAATTAGTAAATGAATTATGGTGGCACGCCAAGCCATGCTCTTGTTCGCATCGTAACATCTAGTTCGTAAAGGAATTATTAGTTCTTCACTTGTTATTCGCAATCGCTTTTGGAACTATATCAGATTATTGCTT